TAAATGAGTCAGTTCACACGAAATACTTAGCATGATGCCCAGACCACAAGAGATGATCAGTTAAAATGGTGATCTAACTCCCTTAAATAGTAATTTTTGATAAGCCTGGGTATATGATAGGGTTTCCAGGTTCATAGTGTTACAGTTTATTTTCAAGAACTTAATTTTAATTTGTTAGAACTAATAGGCAATTTCAGTAAGGTCAAAGGACACGAAAATCAACCTACAAAAACTAGCTGCATTTCTATACACAAACAACTATCCAAAAAGGAAATTAAGGGGAATTCCATGGCGGTCCGGTGGTTAGGAATCTGCACTCTCACTGCTGAAGGCCCAGGTTCAATCCCGAGTCAGGGAACTAGGATCCCACAAACCACTTGGGCGGCCACAAACAAACAAACAAACCAAAAGGAAATTAAGAAAATTCCATTTACAATAGTGTAAAAAAAGAATATAATACTTAGGAATAAAATTAACCAAAATGGTGATAGACTTGTACACTAAAACCTACAAAACACTGACTAAAGAAATAAAGACAGATGGAACGATGTCACGTGTTCATGGACAGGAAGAATTAATACTGTTAAAATGTCCGTATTTACCAAAGTGATCTATAGATTCAGTGTAATCCTTATCAAAATCCCAATGACATTTTTACAGGAATAGAAAAACAATCTTAAAACTTCATTTGGAACCATAAAAGACCCCGAATAGCCAAAGCAATTCTGAGCAAGAAGAACAAAGCTGAAATGCTCCCTCATTTTAAAATGTATTACAAAGCTACTGTAATCAAAACCAGTACAGTACTAGCATAAAAACAGACAGACTATGAAACAGAATAAAAGAGACCAGGAATAAACCCTGGCATATACGTATGGTCAACTAATATTTGACAAGGGAGCCAAGAAGACTCAGTGGGGAAAAGATAGTCTCTTCAATAAATGGTGTTGGGAAAACTGGATATCCACATGTAAAAGAATAAAATTGGATTCTTATCTCAAACCATATATAAAAATCAACTCAAAATGGATTAAAGACTTAAACACAAAGCCTGAAACAATAAGACTCTTAGAAATCTTAGGGAAAAAGCTTCTGACATTGAACTGTACAATGATTTCTTTGATATGGCATCAAAAGCACAGGCAACAAAAGCAAAACAAGACAAGTGGGACTACATAAAACTAAAAAGCTTCTGCACAGCAAAAGAAACCATCAACAAAATGAAAAGGCAACCTACGCAATAGGAGAAAATATTTGCAGACCATATATCTGACAAGGGGTTAATATTCAAATACATAAGAACACCTATAACTCAATAGCAAAAGTCCCCAAATAACTTGATTAAAAGATGGGCAAAGGACCTGAATAGATGTTTCTCCAAATAAGACATACAAATGGCCAACAGATGTATGAAAAGGAGCTCAATGTCACTAATCATCAGGGGAATGCAAATCAAAAGCATGAGATACCACCTCACGCCTGTTAGGATGGCTGTTATCAGAACAAAAACTCACGAAGGACAAATGTTGGCAAGGATGTGAAGAAAAGGGAACACTTGTACTTTGTGGGAATGTAAACTGGTGCAGCTACTATGGAAAACAATATGGAGGTTCCTCAAAAGATTAAAAATAACCATTTGATCCAGTGATCTCTTTTCCGGGTATATAGCCAACAAAAGTGAAATCTAGATCTCAAAGAGATAGTTGATAGTTGAACGCACTCCCACGTTCCTTGCAGCATTATTCATGATCACCAAGGCATGGAAACAAATGTCCGTTAATATACAAATGGGTAAAGAAAATGTGGTATGTACATAAGGTGTAATATTATTTAGCCTTGGAAAAAGAAGGGAATTCTGCCATTTGCAACAACATAGATGGACCTTGAGGGCATTATGCTAAGTGAAATAAGCCAGAAAAAGAAGTTATGTGTGGAATCTAGAATAGTCAAACTCATAGAAGCAGAGACAGAATGGGGATTGCCAAGGGCTGGGGGACGGGAACATGGGGAGGTGTTGGTTAAAGGTTACCAAGTTTCAGTTATGCAAAATAAGTTCTGGAGATCTATTGCTAAGAGGAAAAAAAAAAAAGGGCACTAGGGCTGCAGAGCCTCTCTGAGCTTTCTGCAAGGGAGTAGGTATGAGCATTGGTTTTGGATATATGGGTGAGAACAGCTTTTACTCTTCATTTAATTTGAAGGAATGTGGGCTCTAAAATCAGACAGAACTAAATTGTACCATTCATGAGCTGTTTACTGCCAAGTTTTTTTTAACCTTAGTCTGTTTTCTTTTTTAACATTATGATTATTGTGAAAATTGAATAATGTGGTAAAAAGTTGTCAGCACAACTAGCTGTAATATTTTTTAAAATTTTAGTAAAATTAATATATATTAACTTAGATCTGAGTACTTTCAAGCCTACTGAAATTTGACTAGCAAATCACCAGCAGTGGCACATAGCTAGACTTGGTGGCCTGCCACAGGGGATGTGCATAAACACATGGGACATTACTAGATATCCGGAGGATATACAGATACATTCTCAGATTTGTTAGTAAAACTTTAGTAGAACAGTTTCTTTAAAAAAAAAAAAAAAAATTATCTAGTAGTATCTTCAATATCAGCATCCAGTTGCTAGGAATTGTCTATGCATTATTTTCCTTTGTGTGATAAGATGCTGTGGCCAGACGTGACCCATCATTCCATCCAAATGGTGTGAATAAGAATACCCTTGCTGCTGCAGCTGCTGAATGCATTGAGGTTGCTGGGGTGACCAGACAGTCCTTTGTGTTGCAACTCTATTTACAGCTGTGCTTTAGTATATGCCACAAATAGCTCAGTGACCTGCATTTGACCCCATGGTCAGCGTTTCCTCAGTGAATCTTTGTGACTGTGATATCTGTCTCTACTTCATTGATTTGGGTTTGAAATTTCAGTAGTACTTTTGAGACTGCTTGGCCAATATTTGAGTACAGTGACACTTAGGTGTAGCCCCATGGTCCCAAAAGCCAGTAATCCTTTAGCCAGGATTTACTAAAACAAAGCTTACCTCGCACTTGACTGTATAATGTTTTGACATTAGTTCAGAACAAATACAGTGAATGTCTGCCATGTATCAAGTGCCATTAAAGCTGATAAATTATATTTTCAATCAGTAATTATATTTCAATGAAGTAAAAGCCTTGAAGAAAGATATCGTATGGCTGATGTGTGATTATCCCGTTAGTGTCTGGGGAAGATGGTAAATTTAAAACAGGAAATGGTTCGCTGGCACAAAGGTGGCTGTTTCTGAGCCAGTGGTGCACCCACTGCAGTGGAGAATCCATGTTCAAGGCACTAATGCCAGCCCAGGGAAGCAGAGTTGAAAGCAGCAACTGGTCTCCCAAAGGGCTCTCCTGCTGTAGGACTAGCTAGGCAGAAGCCGACAGGGGCACAGCTAAGTGATTAGAGCCCTGCCAGTGACCCACAATATGCTCAGCATGAAATAAGGAGGTTCATGACATTATCTCCCCAACGTCCTTGAATGCTTCCCTCACTCCACTTTGGAACTCAAAGGACTTGGGCAAGGCTCAATCAAGCCTCAGCAATTCAGCTATGGAGACTGTAACCCCATAGCTGGGGACTGTGGAAATACTGTCCATGGCAATTGATGGGACATCCTTCAGGGAAAAATCCCTAATAATGAAGGGTCATTCTTACCAGTGTTACATTTTTGGAGCCACTGTTATATCTTAACCCGACTTCTTTTGCCCAGAACGTAGCTTTGAAGTTCATCTTAAGATTTTCTTGGGTGTCCAGGGTTTTGCTATCTCATGTGTTACAGCTTCCATTTACTCTCTAGAAAGCCACCCTTGATGACATTCTATTTAGAAGCTTTTTGACTATTTCTTTTCCTCTTAATTGTCTCGTACAAATTTGTGTGCATCAGAATCACCTGGAGGCTTTATTACAACACGGATTGCTGGGCCCGGCCCAGGCTGGGCATTTCTACCAAGTGTCCTGGTCATGGTTGCTCGTCTAGAGACCACATTTTGAGAATCACTGGTCTTAACAGGAAGAGGAAAAAAAAAATCTAACAAGTCTGATATACTGTGCTACGTGAAAGTTCTGCAATAGCTTAAATGAGCATATGAAAGGATTATAGAGGTTTACTGTGACCCTGTTTTCTTTAACACCTATTAAGATCCTGACACTCTAGCATTTCCTAGCTATAGCTTGCTCCTAGTAACTACTCAACATTTATTACAGGCAAACAATTTGTATCAGGCAACTGCGAGAAGAGCAAAACCTCTAGATGAGATAAGTAATATAGTTTATTTCTATTGAATCTTTCCTATGTCCTATTTTCTTTCCACTTATTTTTTTCCAGCAGTGGGATAGAGGGGGAAAATTCAGATTAATTAAAAGTTTGAGTCAAAGCACCGATACAGTTGTAGAGAAGACTGGAGGAGGAAGGCGATAGTGACGGAGTGACGGAAACGCTGACACGCTGGCTGTAGCACAATTCAAGTTTATTCCATTTGTTCTTGCAACACAAAACTTCAACACAATATTATTTAGCATTCTGATGTACATGAACTAGGATAATATGAGAAACCCAATTGTGTCAAACGCATTACATTGTGGAAAAAATGAACTCAAATATATCAAAATGCACAAAGCACTAGTCTTCCTCCATTACTGCTTAGAAAGATATGATTGTTTCTCCATTTACAAAATAGAATCAGGACAATTTAAATTTTTTAAAATTTTGCATGCAAAACACTGCAGTTACTTATGCAGGAGGGCACTCTCACCAGCTTCTTCTATACACAATCGAGTATACAGTATTGCATGGAAGAAAACAGCAGCTCAGTTGAAGATTTAGGAAAAAACAATCAAATAGGTACATATAGATTTGAAATCCATTATTTGGGGGAAAGAAATCAATGAATCAAGGGTGTACTTGCTGGCAGCTTCCACTCACTGCACCCACCTACCTCTCCTTCATGCCCCACTGGGTTTAGAAGGTGAGCTGTGAACTACTGCATCAATTCTGGTGCCGTAGCTCAACTGTAAGTCTACAGATACCAGTCTGAAGCTGCACGGGGGAATCTGTTAGTATACTAAGGTAGACAGGTAAACCGCCTGTTTTCACTTGATACAGTGCATACGATATGACTGACTGAATACAAAACTACAGAACATGCAAAATTTTTTCTGAGATGTTAAATATTACTTCAGTGGAGAACAAAACTTACTTAATCTTTTACTAATGCATGTAGTACCAAAAAGCAGACAAGGTTTTAGCTTCCTTTAGTCAAAATATGAACATTAAGTGTTGTGAATTTCTCTGCCAAGTGGTTCAGAAATACATTATAAATAACCTAGTTAAAAAAAAGAAACTAAACCATCCTGGTCAGTCTATTCTGTTTATCTGTTATTTTCTCAAGCAACTGCTTCATAATTATGGGGTTTACAAAATGGCTGAGAAAGAAGAGGGAAGGCAGAGTAGCCTCTACTGCATTACAAGGAACAAGAGGATAAACTGTACACAGAATCACATGGTCTCCAGACCAGGTGACTGTGGAAGCAGACCAGGTTTAGGAATGACAGGACAATGCACTCTCTGCAGCAGCCAACTACAAAAAACACTTTGAGAGTAAAGGTAAAACTGCGTAGAGAGTAAAATCCAAGCCTTTTAAACAGCAGTATGCCAAGAAGTGGAAACAAAGATATCAAAACAGCTTGTCACCACGCTGACAGTTACAGTCTGATGGAGTGCCGTCCATCTTCAGTGAGGATAGCTCTGTGTTTCAGTTCAGTGATGTTATGAAGTACTGATTACCGACTTTTAATCCAACTCTAATAAATAGGCTGCATTAAGACAGCAGAATTAGCCAAATGTATCAAAGTATTTAAACCAGCATTTTGTGATTGTTTTCTTGGATGCAGGAAAATTACAGGGTTAGGCTAGTTTTAAGTGAAAAAGCCACAGGATAAAAAAAGGGTTCATGGGGAAAAATACACACACACAAACCCACACACCAACCAACCAATCAGCAAGTGGTCAATAAGACTTGTTGGCCAGGCTGACTGTTCTTGGTACTAGTTTAACCCTGCTGTAGAATGCTACATTGCCTTAAAAAATCATCATTAATTCTTTGTTGTCCACAATCTGAATACAAGTCCCTCACCCCCCTCCCCCCTTTTAAAAATTTGAGGTACATTCAATTATTGCGTGACATGGCTAAGGAAAAACCCTTATATTTTTAGTAAGCTTATATGGATGGCAAGTCAAAGGAATCTTAATATTTTATATGCAGGACAGCAAATTTAAGGGTATATGTTTTAATTAGCTGTACTGCTCATGAAATAAACATTAGAAAATGTGTCTAAATATTTTCTGCAGGTCCCAAGAACACCACTTTAGGGCACTGTATTTTAAGAACACAGAATACAATCTGAAGTTCTCACATTTTATGCAATGCATAATATAGAAAAGAAAAAATATATATTATGCAGGTGGGTTGGCATACATTCAGCAGAAGCCTATCAACACCTCAGGGAAACTTGGTAACACACATATTTTTAAGGGATGGGGTTAAATTTGTCCAAACAGTAAATCTCACCCCAGTGATAGCTTTGGTGCAATAAGTAATCAGCATCCAGGATGGGTCTGAGAGAGGCATTCCAAAGAATGTTCCTTGATTCTCCAAACACAACTGAGGCCAATCCATTCAAATAGCAAATGAAGAAAATCCATAGGTACTAAGAGAACTGTTCTCTCTTTATGATACTAACAGGCTTATGGCTATGATTCTATTTTTAAATCCCCTTTTACTACCAGCAGGAGTTTGAAAGTGTTTTCAATGTTCTATAAATGTCTGAATCTAGAGGAAAAAAAATATGCATACTGGAATGATTTCTCCTTTAGACTTCCAAAATTTTGAGATTTTATAAATAAAACTAGTCAGTTTTATCTAAAGATCTAAAGATACATGAAATCCATGTGAAGGGGGAGAGGAAATCCAAAGTTCAGCCGCCCAGCAGTTTAGGAGTGTGCCCCTCCTCGCCTTAAATGAGCTTTCACATAAAGCTGGAAGTCACCGAGGGAAGATTTGGTCACCAACCACAGGCAGCGCTCTTAACTATGCCGGGAGATCCCCACTAGAGTGAATCTTAAGGCAGAAGGCTAGAGCTAATTGCTTATCTCAGCACCCTAAGTTACGTCACAGCAGCCACTACTGCTCGCACAGATGGGGCTACCAAATGTATAGTTGGCCTTGGTATAGTCAGACCCTCAACGCAATCTAATTAATAAATTAGCTAGGGAGCTGAAAAGGTCAAACGTTAATGGTATATTTTGTCTTTACTCTCCCATGGGTATAAGCTGTGGTTTTTTACTGGAATTGGAAAAGAGGCTATAACGTGATCAGGAATCCTAGTAAAAGCCTGATCTTGTTTCTCTCCTCTCCTCCCAAACACTGTTTTTTCCTGGTAGTCTTATTTGTTATGAATTTCTCTCTCCCCTCACCCCTCTAGAAATATTTTAGCTGAAGAAGCTGGCAGATAGAGAGTGACAGACAGACAGGCAGCAGTGTGAGGCCACAGGAGAGTCATTCTTCCAGAGCTGTTAGCCCATCCGTCCATCACTGAAGAAGGGCTTTGATTGCCTGGTTGTCAGTGGCTTCAAAGGCAGTCAGTCCATCTGGACCTTTCACAGTCTTATCAGCACCCTGGAAAAGAGGAAAGAGGCTTTATCATTAAACGAGGCCCACAACCAAGAGAAGAGAATGAAAGCCAGGTCGCTTGGCAAAGGCAAAACTCCTTTACTACCGGAGTCCGTTCTAGTGAAGGAAAAGCCCTGAACAGCTGGCAAGGTTAGAGATTAAGCTGTAAAAACACCAGATTATTTTTCAGGCACTAGAAATGTAAACTAGAAACACAACTTGCCAATAACATAGGCAATGACTGACTTTTATTTATACTATCATATATTTACTCAAGCTTTACAAAAAAAGATCCCTATGTAGTATAAAACAGGGAGGGTTGGGAAGGAAATCACTTTTGCTAAAGAAGAAAGTATTACTGTGACAAAATTATCTTTTTTTCTTCTTTGCAACACTTCTTGGAGAGTGCATAAGTAATACACACATTTGTAAAATCTAGAACTTACAAACCTTTTATTTTAGACAAATTCCTAAAGAACATGTACAGTATTGGTCATTATACTTACAAAAACTTAGCAGTAAATGGCTGGGATGTGGGCTAGGAAAGGAGGGTCCCTGCTATAATCTAGGGAAATTCTCTCCAGCTTGCTCTCAATGCTTCATGCAGAGAGTACTGTCATGGAACATTTTACTTGCAACATGGCACTCTAGTTTCGAGAATGTGTACGCATACCTTTGTGTCTATTGTTTTTATCTGTCTTCCCTTATTAGAGTAAAAACTCAATGGGAGTAGAAATCTTGTTCATATTATCCACTATTGTGTCCCCAGTATGTAAAATTAAAGTACTAGTGCATGGTGGGTGAATTTGCTCCCAAACCAAGTCTGAACCTCTCTAACTTCCACAGATAGCAACACTCCACCATGGAAAGGTTCTCTGCTAGCTCCAGCCCAACCTGTATTTATTCACCAAATAACCTCTTGTGTCCTGTCCTCCTCCCATTGCCAAGTCTCACTCACTCTTCTGTTCCTGAGGCCTACGGAACTGTCTAAACTTGGCATGCGTGGTCCTGTAGAGACAAACTCTAGTCAAATTCACCAGTCTCTTTTCCCATTAATCTTTCAATACTCTAATCCTCTGGAATGTCACCATTCCTCAATGTACCAGGTGCCATGACTTTACACTTGTTGGAATATGGAATGCCTTACCCCCTTTCTGCTGGCAAATCCATTCACTCATTCAATAAATATTTACTGAATGTTTGATGCATAGACACAAAACAAGATAGAGCCTGCCAGTTTCGCTTGTGTGAGAGACAGACAAGTCAACCAGTATGACACAGTGGGATGAGAACAATAGCGTTATGCACCAGTGATGAGTGGTCTGTAAACCATAATGGGATGTGGTTAGGAGAGCGTAAGAAAGTCCTTCTGGATGAGGTAATGCTTGAGCTGAGCCTTGAGTAAGTACAAGTTGATTAGGTAAACCAGGAAGGAGATGACAGACATTCTAGCAAGTGTTAAATTATCACAAAGTCCTCCTCAATATGACTATAAAAGTCTGTTTTCTCTTTTTCTAATTGAATTTAACTGCATTATGGAACACACAGAACTTACAGTAAGTGAGAGAGAAATCTGTGAGTGAGAACTTCAGAGTGGTGAGTACTCCAACATAGGTTAAGTAACAATAATTGGGACATTGTATCCAAAACAAATTTTAAAATTTATTTTTTATTGAATTATAATGTTGTGTTAATTACTGCTGTACAGCAAAAGTGACTCAGCTATATACATATACAGTATATATTCTTTTTCATATTCTTTTCCATTTTGGTTTATCACAGGATATTGAATATAGTTCCCTGTGCTATACAGTAGGACCTTGTTGTTTACCCATTCTATACATAGTAGTTTACATCTGCTAACCCCACATTCCCACTCCTACCCTCTTCCACTGCCCCCCCCCCCCTCACAGATAGGTTCATTTGTATCATATTTTAGATTCCACATATAAATCATATGGTATTTGTCCTTCTCTATCATACTAAGTAAGTCAGAAAATCTCTAGGTCCATCCATGTTGCTGCAAATGGCATTATTTCGTTCTTTTTTTTATGGCCGGGTAGTATTCCATTGTATATAGGTACCACATCTTCTTTATTCATTCATCTGTTGATGGACATTTAGGTTGTTTCCATGTCTTGGCTATTGTGAACAGTGCTGCTATGAGCATAGGGGTGGCATGTATCTTTTTGAGTTATAGTTTTGTCTGGATATATGCCCTGGAGTGGGACTGCTGGATCATATGGTAATTCTATTTTTAGCAAAACAAAGTATTTCTTATTCAATATTGATAACTGTTTTTATGACTAGCATTGTAAACTGTAATTCTGCATTAACAAAAAGTTAAATATCATAGTGAATATCTGTTGCTTTTTAGCTGCCAGACTTCCCTTCTTTTGATAACAGCACCCTAATTTCATTCTGGAGAATCATTTGTCCCCATTGTGTGGACTCCTAGAACTGTAACTTAAGGTGCCATGTACTTTCCTTGCCAGGCATCAAAGCAGGATGCTCACTTCTGGATTTTGAATCTTGATGAGAGAGAACAAAAGAAAGACAACAAGAACTCAGAGCTCATTTATTTCTGTGTTATCACCCAGAAGAGACAGTTGAGAAGTTCCTGCTATCTAGAGTCTTATAGCTACCATAGCTCTGGCCTCTTCTGAGCCTGGTCCTCCAGCTTTCCTATTGATTCTATGACTAGTCCAACATCTTCAAAAATGCTTTTTCTACTTGAGTCAACTTCTGCTATTTGCAACCCCAAAAATCTGATAAAAGTATTAAAAATTTTATATAAATCATCTTTTTTTTCCTAATTGTAATACAAACTAATCACAGAACTCAGAATACACACCAAAAAACTCCCGGTAAAACTCGTAATTCTATAAGCCAAATACAACTAATGTTAACATTTTAGTGTTTCTATATTCTCGTCCTAGATATGTATGTGTATGTATCTCTTTTAAAAATAAATGAGTAACCATAAGAGAAATAGAGTGACTCTGTATCAGACAAAATAAAGTTTAAGATAAAGAAATATTACTAGAGACAAAGAGGGACATTTCTTAATAATAAAAGGCTTAACATTCAAAATTTAAAAATAAAGCCAAGAAAAGAATTCCATTGATAATAGCAGCAAAAAGAATAAAATGTTAGGAATAAATTTAATGAACTCAAACCAGTTCTTCTAAAAAAGATACATCAATTATCAACATGGAAAAGGATATTAAAAGAAAATGATTTTTTGATACTTGATGCAGTTATTGGAGAACTTAAGTATATCTGGCCTCACCCTTTTCCTGAGGAAACCATTTTCAGTAGTTATTAGTTCTAGTGATTATTTCCATGGCTCTAAATACTATACTCATGCCACTATTTGAGTTATTAACTTCAGAGATTACCTTCTGACTCCCTGCTGCATGGATGCTGCTCTAGCAGGGAGCACATCCCCTCCCCACATCCTCCCAATGTCTTATACTTCAAATAGCAGTTTCTGTTTCTTTGTAAATATTTTTATATTTAAAACCTGTTTCTTGTTCCATCAATTTTGACAGTATCTTATTCCTCTACTTTATAAGATACTTTCTCTACCTTCCCATTACTCCCTCTACCTCTTAAATTGCCAGCTTTTCTGTTTTGTCAAGATTAACTTTTATATTCGGTTCTGTAAAAACTGTTGTTTATTGGTTGATTTTTTTCCCCCTATAGTCACCATACTGTACATTATATATCCCCAGGACTTACTTATCTTATAAATGGAAGTTTCTACCTTTTGACCACCTTCACCCATTCCTCGCCCCCCGCATCTGTTTTCTGTTACCTGTGAATTTTGAGACTTTTCATATAAGTGAGATAATACAGTATGTCTTTCTCTGATTTATCTCACTTAGCATAATGCCCTCAAGGTCATCCATGTTGTTGCAAGTGGCAGGACTTTCTTCTTTTTTTTAATAGCTAAA